GAATCCAATAAGGGTCTATTGTGGGCTCATCACAAGGTCCATAACTACATCCTTAAAGAATCATTGGTGGAAGAAACAAGAAGGCCCAATAATAATTCCATTCGATAGAGGAAAGTATTATAGTGGCCCATTTCAAGTGATATCATGGACCGAAGACAATGCTTACAAGATTCGAGGTCGAATCATTTTCAAGAAGGGGAGGATGATGCGGCCCAACATAATAAAGATCCATCAAGAGTACCAATTGGGCCAATCACAAGGCCCAAGTCCAAACAATTAAGACAACTCTTCATTGGTGATATTCAAAGATGGTGGAAATCCAAGTCAAGCCCATTTGCAAAAGATGAAGAAGAATTCAATGTTTTTTATAATTATTTAGGTGCTGATTTTGGAGATTAAATTAGGCACAAATAAGCCTTATTATTTTTTTTTGTTAGCAAGCGAGGCTGCACTTTGATAGCTCTGATACCAAATTGATATGAACCTAATCCAAGATTCAAATAAGATGGAGTATTGCCCCAAGAATGCTCTCAAAGTAAAGATAGAGATGGATCAAAATACCTTAAACCTCACGAGAAACCCTTTGTCTCGAATCCTCAAACACTTCGAAGAATCCCATGTAGCTTCAAGTACCTCGATGATGCAATCTTCAATCAACTAGAGTCGGATCTAAATTCCTTCGATTCAAGAACGAGTCCACGAACCTAAATCTAAGGTTGAAGAAAGGAAGATTGATTCGAGTCCATGAATCAATTTGCTAGTCGAGTCCACGACTAGCCACTAATTGAGTCCACAATTAGCCATAAGATTTCTTACACAAGTGTAAAGAAAAACATAGTCATCATTATTTTAAATTGTTTGGCATAAAAGAGAAAACACTAGTTGTATTTAGAAAGGATTCCTTAAATCTTAAGTTTTTCTTTACACTTGTGTAAGAAATCTTATGGCTAATTGTGGACTCAATTAGTGGCTAGTCGTGGACTCGACTAGCAAATTGATTCGTGGACTCGAATCAATCTTCCTTTCTTCAACCTTAGATTTAGGTTTGTGGACTCGTTCTTGAATCGAAGGAAACTAGATCCGACTCTAGTTGATTGAAGATTGCATCATCGAGGTACTTGAAGCTACATGGGATTCTTCGAAGTCTTTGAGGATTCGAGACAAAGGGTTTCTCGTGAGGTTTAAGGTATTTTGATCCATCTCTATCTTTACTTTGAGAGCATTCTTGGGGCAATACTCCATCTTATTTGAATCTTGGATTAGGTTCATATCAAATCATGCGTCCTATGATTACAAGGCATAATAAATAGGCAAGCACATGTTTAACATGTAAAGGCAAACAACAGGATTCAATAACCATCAGTTAGCAAATAAGCATCAGAACACACAATCTATCTTCCAACCTTATACCAAGTTCCAACCTTTACTCCTCCCATCCTTATATCAGTTCCAACCTGTACCTCCAGACCACCCTTATATCGTCTCCCTTATTCCTCCGGAGCAACTACATGCCCCACTCCGTAACCACCAATAAGTCCACCAACATGGTAGCACCGAAGTGTCATTTGCATGGTCCGTGCCTCTAGCACCACTACCAAGGGGTCAGCGCATATAGCTCTAACATGACACCGCGGCGCTTATACCCTGACCCAAGCCTTTAGCCAGCAAGTCTAAGGGGTGGTCCGTGCCTTTAGCACGATAACCGAGCACTCGTTTTGCTTTCCGCCAACAATTCATTTCCGTCAACCACAATCTCATTCTCATCAGTCACATCGATCATTGCGCAATGACCACGATACCCATCATCATTCAATCAATCAATCATGTAATCAACAATAACAATCAAGGCACATTAACAAATAACACATACTACACACAAATTCATAGAGCGGTACTCAAAACATCACATGAGACTCATAAACATCAAACAGGGTACAACGGCGCACAACAAGACACGGGAAAACATCTCGCCGCACACCCACTTTCCAGCGGGTGGGCGGTGGGTGGTGGACTCTCGCCAGTGGGCGTCCACTTTTCAGCGGGTGGCCGGCAGGCAGGCCACTGCCCGCTGGAACTTGTGTAGCCGGGCAACGGGTAGGTGGTGGGGATTCGTCCCCCCACTGGTACAAAGGTAGAAATCCCGGTTCGGTGTTCGTTCGTGGAACTCAAAACCATGTCCAAACACATTCTAACACTTAACAACAACATCAAAGATTCAATTAACGAAGATTAAACCAAAATACATTCCAATTACTTCTAACACGATTCCTAACAATGCCAAGACTCAACATCAATCACATAACGGTTCAGCTGCATCCGGAACCTCAAGAACATCAAGAAATCTATATGCAATGCCCTAAAGACAAGTCCTAGGCTAGACTCAACACCCGAGCATGCATAAACCCACCCAATAACACCAAGAATATCATAACACGAGATTCACGATATAAACCCTAGGGACAAGCTCTAGACATAATTAAATACAAGATCACACATATAATCAATCACAACATCAAGATAATCAAGATTATCAAATAAACACAACACAAACCCTAGGCAAAGCTCTATCAAGAATCAATCACAGAATCACACATCAAAGGAGCCAATAATCAAGATATAGCAAGGAAAATAGGTTTTGTAAGACATGGGTTACCTCTTAGCCCTAATCGATTCCTTCGGCTACTAAGGTTCTTCCCTAAGATTCTTCTCCCAATCGATCTGCCTAAGCTTGTTTGTGGGGGATTTCCTTGGCTGGATTTTCTGAGAGATTTTCGAGTAAAAAGGATGTGAGGAAGGGTTCTATCTGCTTCCTAATCTTCTATTTATATGTTTAAAGGAAACATATTCAGAGTCTGGATGATAAGGCCCACTTTCCTTATTCCCTACGAGCTTAAGGTTTCTAGTTCAGGCAAAGGTTCACGATCCATTGAGGAGCGCATAGATTAATTAAGAAAATTACAATTGGATTAAATCCTTCTTAATTATTTTAATTAACGAGATTAATTTAATAATTAATTTGGGTTTGAAGGCCGTAACACGGGGTGTTACACCCCCCCCCCCCTAACAAGAATCTTCGTCCCCGAAGCTTAGACGTGACAAGGTCCATCCCAATTTCGTAGCATAAGGTCTAGTATTTGTTACCTTGCATGAATAGGTCGGGGTAGCGTTCTCTCATTGCGCTTTCGAGCTCCCGTGTCACTTCCTCGGTTCCGTGATTGGACCAGAGGACTTTAACCATCTACACAGTCTTCCGGTGGGTTTCTCTCATCTTTGTGTCCAGGATCTTCACAGGCTTTTCCTCGTTGGATAGGGCGTCATCTAAGCACACTATTTCAGGTTGTAGTACGTGAGTCGCGTCGTGTACATATTTCTTTAGTTGTGACACGTGGAATACGTTGTGTACCCGCTCTAGTTCGATTGGCAACGCGAGGCGGTTGGCTAAGGTTCCGACTTTCTCTAGGATTTCGTAGGGCCCGATAAATCTAGGGCTTAACTTCCCTTTCTTTCTGAATCTCATCACTCCCCGAATGGGTGAAATCTTTAGCTAAACCTTTTCTTCTGCGAAGAATTCAACTTGTTTCCTCCCTAGATCGGCTTAGGACTTTTGGCGGTCTTGTGCAACCTTCATTTACGCTTGTAATGTGTTTGACCTTTATTATGGTGTCTTGTAAATACTGTGGTCCTAGAGTCACCGAGTTGACCATGTCTTCCCAGCATATGGGAGTCCTACACTTTTGACCATACAGTGCCTCGTAGGGTGCCATACGGAGGCTTGCATAGTAGCTGTTGTTGTAGGAGAATTCGATTAGATCTAGGTGTTCCTCCCATCTTCCCTGGAAATCTAACATGCAGGCTCTCAACATATCTTCGAGGGTTTGAATTGTCCTCTCGGTTTGGCTGTCGGTAGTGGGGTGGAAAGTGGTGCTCAACTTTAGTCTCGTCCCCATGGCCGTTTGTAGTGATCTCCAGAACTGCGAGAGGAATCTGGAGTCTCTATCAGACACGATGTTTCGTGGTACCCCATGATATTTCACTACCTAGTTTATGTAGGCTTTGGCTAGTTGTGTCATTGTCCAAGTCTCTTTCATAGCGATAAACCGCGCCGTTTTGGTTAGTCGATCCACTATTACCCGGATTTTGTCGTTTCCTGTCCGTGTCGTGGGCAGACCTCCCACGAAGTCCATTGAGATAGAATCCCACTTTCCTTGGAGCATTTCAAGGGGCTGTACGAGTCCCTTGGGTTTGCACCTTTCAGCTTTTACCTTTTGACAGTTCAGGTATTTGCTCACAAAGTCTACTACCTTCCTTTTCATGTTGGGCCACCAAAATAACTTTTTCACATCTTGGTACAACTTATCACCCCCAGGGTGTACGGAGTAAGGTGCACCGTGTCCTTCTTTCTATGATTTGTCTCTTCAGGTGGGGGTGCGTCTTGGGTACGCACCATCTTCCTTTATAGCGGAGGCTGCCATCACTAAACAGTTCGAACGATCCGTTTTTCCCGTCGGTCAGGCCGAGTTGTACCTTTCCTAATTCAGGATCTTGTTGTTGCCCGGCCTTGATTTCTTCAAACAGCGTGGGTATGATCCTGAGGTTGAATAGTTGGATCTCCGAATCCACTTGTCCCTGCTCCACTTTTTCTAAATTTAATTTATGGAATTCTCTACACAGTTCGTCCGCATAGGATCTGTGCCTTGAATTTCCCTAGCCAGTCCATTCCTAGGATTACCTGTATGCCGTCCAACCCAAACTAGATTAGATTGCTAGGAAATTCCACTCCACCAATGATGATTATTATTTCCCTGTACATACGATTGCACTTCAACACTTCGCCTGACGCCACCTTGACTCTTAATTGTACCCATGTGCCTGGTGAAACAACCGTGCCTTGTGGCGAATTCAGCTACTATGAACGAGTTGGTAGCTCCCGAATCAAACTTTACGATGGCGGGAGTGGCGTGTACGAGGAATGTTCCGGTTACTACGTCGCTTTTCCTGATTCAGGCCCTACTCTTAGCAAGGATCCTTCCCCGGGCGATTTCCGTCACACCTTCGGAGTCTTGCGCCGTCGACTTTCCCCGACCTTGAGGTGAAGAGGCCCTGGCGGCTTTTAGTTTCTGTGGAGGGATTATGGGGCTTCCTTCGACTTTCCTCTTGTGTGCCTCAGGTGTTCTCGGCGGATTATGATGTACTCGTTGGAGATCGGCCGCCTTGGTGTAGACTTCCTCAAGTGTCCTTGGTTTGCTCACGGTCAAGGCTTTTCTGCCTTCGAAGTTGAGCCCGGTAACAAACCTTTCTACTTTGATGATTTCTGTAGGTACCAACCCACTTGCGAAGCGAGTCAACTCTAGGAACCACTTATAGTATTCTTCCACTATGGCGTTCACTTGCCTTAGGTGCAGGAATTCTTCGTTCATGGCTGCTCGGATATGTTTGGGGTAGAAACGCTCTCTCAGTTTGGCTTTTAAGACTGGCCAGTCCACACCTGGTCCCGGCCCTTCCTGTGCCCACCACGAGTCGGCCTCATGCCGAAGGTAAAATGATGCCAACTTGACTTGATGCTCCCCTGGACAATCCGTTACTTCGAAGATCTTGTCGAATGTCCGAATCTGATATGAAC